CGTGCCTGTGGGTGTCCAGCTCCCGGCCAATGGACAAGGAGGACAGCCACACCCATCCCCCTCTGGAAGGACAGGATCTGCTTGGGCCCAGGAGGGTGGCCACTACTGCTTAAGTGGCCGCGGCTGCTTCTGCCCACTGGGTTTTGTTTGTTCCTGAGTCCGGGAGCCATTCGTCACTTGTACTGTTTGTAATGTTCAGGCAGGAGAGCCCAAGGGAACTGGGAGAGCTCCCACACAGGGATTTGGGGATTTAGGGTGGGAACGGTGGACTGTTCTAAGGCCACTTAGGTGTGGCTAAGGAGCCAAGACAGACACGTGGGTGCTACCCACTCAAAGCTTCGGTGCAGTTTTGGCATCGCCGTGGAGGTGCCAGGCAGGGAGGCAGGCACAGACAATGCAGTTCTTATGTCTTAAAGAGGAAACGTGTGGCCCTTGACTCCACCAACTCCTCCCCCCCAAACACCTTTCCCCACCCCTGGCCCGGGCTGAGCAGCTATTGGGAGTGACATAGGAGAAAGATCATCTAGGTAAGTCCTTCATGCAGCCCAGGAAGCAGGCCTCCCCGGGAAGGGAAGTGACTTGTCCAAGGTCATGTCGCTGGTAGTAACTTGACTCCCTGGGGGTGACTGAGGGAGGGAGCCAGACCTGCCTCCAAGCAGCTTTCCCAGCGGAGGCCGCGTCTGTGCGGTGGAATCTGCCCTCAGGCGAGGCCTGGCTGCTCCCTCCCAAGGCCAGAGCCTGTATTGAGCCCCTGCTGTGTGTCAGGCACCACCACACTTGGTCTCATCTAACCTCGTCGCCACCATCCTAGGAGTCACATTATAGATGGGGAAGGAGACTCAGAGATGAAGTCACTTGCTGAAGGTCACAGAGCTAATCAGTGCGGAGTGAGGATTCAAACTCAAGCCTGGCTGACCCCAGAGCCCAGCTCTTTCCAGGCCCCAACTCTGTCTTCAGTGGCTCCAGGTCCACCCACCGTCAGGCCTGAAGGGCTGAGCCCTCAGGGCTCCCCCTCCCCCCGCTCCCGGCAGAGCTAAGGAGATTAACGCACGGGGAGAAATGACTTGCCCAAGCTCATTCCGAAGCCAGTAGCGGAGCCAAGACCTGGAGCAGATCTCCACACTTCCAGGCCAGACTCACTCCACCACCCGTTCCCCTACCTGCCCCAGCCTTGGGATTGCTGGCAGCTGACTCTGTCTTCTGTGGCCGTGCCCGGTGGGGGAAAGCCTAGAGGTTGGGAGATGGCCCTCTAGATGGGGGGAGGCTCTGCTGACCGGCCAGAGGGAGAGGGAGAGGTGGTGGTGATGGTGGTGGTGGTAGCAGAGGTGGAGAGGGTGGGACTGGAACTTGGCCTATTGGCAGTGGGGGAGGGGCGGGGACGATGCTTATCTGTGGGGCAGGAAGCACCGGAGCCAGCGACACCCCAGCAAAGCACTGCTGCTCCTTGGCCCCATGGGGGAGGGAAGGATGTGAGTGGGGGGGGGGGGGGG